GTGCAAATACAGTAGTCATACAGACATGGCAAAGGGCTAACACTGGAATAATTTCCATGATTTAATCTGTAGTGTTTGAAGAGTTTAGCTCTCAAGCCCAAAGATAGAGGACAAAGCTTGCAAGTCCAATCCAGTGAATCACAACCACCCTGCAATTAATAAATTACAGCCAATATTTCCCAGAGTTAAACTGCATATTAATACAAATATGAATTACCTCAGCCATAAAATCAGAACCTTGATGGACGTAGAACGTGTGGTCCACTCTAGGAGAGAGAAAACAGGCATAGTAAATTGTTATATTTTTTTGGTTTAAGGCTATAAACATTATTTGAACTTACGATAAATTATTTCAAAAGGATCAGATGGCACCAAGTTGAGATATTCCTGAAATTTATTTAAGAAAAATATTTTGTATCTGGACTTATTCTGTTTTTTAACCATTAATATATCACCCAAAACATAATAAATACTGTGTTACTACTACAACTAATCAGAACAATGGGCCTCATTCACGAATAACTTCGTAAGAAACTACTCAACTTTCTTCTCAAGTTGTCCTTAAGTAGATTTCTAAGAAATCCCTACGTGGGATTCATCAACGCACTCGTAAGCCGCTGAATTGTTCGCAGCTGTTCTCTCAGATTGATGAATCCCATTTCCTCTTAAGTACAGCGCGCGTGCCAGGTGCTTCATTAGCATAGGTACTTAGCATAAGTAACCGCCCATTAATGCCCATATAAGGGGATGCAGGGCCGTGTGCAGACGGCTGAGGAAACAGCAACAGGCCTAAAGCAGGCCTTTTTTCTTCTTTTACCAGACTGAGAATAAAGTTATAAAATGTTGACTTAAAAGTCGAAATATTATGATAATAAAGTCGAACTAGCAAAATTATGAGATTAATCTAAGAATATGATGAGATTAATCTCAAAATGTTATGAGCTTAATTTAAAAATATATTATGTTTTATTTTAAAGATGAATCTCAAAATGTTTTGAGATTAATCTCAAAATATTTTGGACCCTGGGAGGAGATCCAGCGCGGACCAGCGCTGAGACCAATGCAGACCCGAGGAGAGACTGGAGTGACCAGCACACAGAAACCAGCGCGGACCTGTAGAGACCGCATAGACTGTAGTGACCTGACTGGAGAGACCGGTGCGCAGAGACCAGCGCGGACCGAAGATAGACCGCATAGACCAGACTTGAGAGACCAGCGCGGACCCGTATGGATCCAGGAGCAGGCAGCACGGACCCGTATGGAGAGAGACCAGTGCAGACCCGTATATGGGAGAGACCAGTGCAGACCCGTATAGATCCATGGAAGAGACCAGCGCAGACCCGTATAGATCCATAGGAGAGACCAGCGCAGAGACTCAGCGCGGACCCTGCAGTAACCTCCTGCAGCAGCAGTATATATGCCGTTGTTCTGTGGCCCGTGGATAAAGAAATGCCCCCTATAAATAGGAAGGGGTCACTAATACACGGCAAGATTTCCAATGTATTTGATAAAGCGTTGGCACATTTCATTTCAAAATGAATTAAAAAGTAGGCCAGATCTGCAGTGAAAAAGGCGGTATATAAATAAAGATTACTAATAAAGATTACTACAAATAAATAAATACATACATCGATATGACGGACATATCACTGGAATGTTGTATTTTTATTCAACTTCACCAAAGAGGACAACCCCGGCGTGTGAACATGTCGGCACTGAATGCGTACGAGTGCTCCTGAGGACTCGTAGGATTTGTACTTGCCCAAGAGAAATTCTGGTTACGAGAAATATTCGTGAATGCCACTTTCTTCGTAAAAACCGCGTAAGTAGGATTTACGTACAAATCTGTTCCTAAGAACCGTTCGTGAATGAGGCCCAATGACTTTAGTCAGAATTTTTAATTTAATTATTTTCAAAATAAGTTACACAAATGTATGGAAAAACATTCCTCCATAACATATTTAAGTGTGATTGGAATCAATAATGAAAAGGCATACTGTGCAAATAGGCTAAAAAAAGCAATGCACATTCAATATGTTAAAATATGAAAATTACTGTTTTACCACTAAATGAGTTTGACGCTTCCAATTGCTGCTTCCACTTTATCCTGCAATATAAAATACAAATTAATATAACGGAAATTAGAATTCACATGGCTTAAACTATTATGTGTGACTGTATATTATCAACAAAACCCTACACAGGAAAAAAGGCAAATATAACAATAAGTTGTAAGAAAAGTTTAACAGCTTTATCTCCCCATTTTCATTTTTGCAACTCTAATAGGAGGTATATAAAAATACTGTAAATACTACAAGTGGAAATAGAAATAATCCAAGTACTATAAAAGATAATACAACAAAAGTACCGAAAACGAATGCCTTATGAGACAACCGAACTAAAGAAGCATGTAACAAGGACATAACGTGTAAGCATTAAAAAAGTTGAGACGCGCCGAGATCTGGCGGAAGATAGAATGGACTAAAACCTACATACATATATGCAGTCACTCAATACATTACATTTAACGAACTCACAGGCTAACCATCCGCATTTAACCTTGCTAATTTATGCTAGCAGCAACCATGAGGTAGCCGCAGACATCCGGCGTCGAGAAACTCCGACGAAATCCGTCCAAATGGTCAACTCACTGACGTACACACGTGTGTCAAGCCCCGTTTTATGTGCAGAAACAAATAACAGATCAGAAAAAGTACAATTATACGTATATTTGCGGGGCTTAGTTGCAGCCGTCTCCTCCGCCTCGCGCAGCCATCTTGCTTCGTCAAACTTTGTGCGTGAAACAGACCGTCCGTTCAGTGACGTCATGACGTAAATGCGTCACGAACTCATAAAGTTTACATTTACTCACAGTTAGAATGCATACATTTTATCTCATATGAAACTAAACTATTAAACTACTACAGCCAACTAAAAAAATATGGGCGTTTGAACTCATAAGTGTTACATTTTCAGATGGAATATATGAATTTGAATACAGTAGATTAAGAAAAATTGAGTTAATGCAGTGTTTGGGTTTACAGTGTAATTACAAAATTCCATGTCTTTTGAGTTTGTATTATCTTAATCATGAATCAATAAAATATTTTATGCACAAATACCGATAAATATGCACGCATTTTTTTTTAGACATGCACGTCTTTATTGACAGTAACCTTACCCCGTAGCCAAGCTACATGGCATTGCGGTGAAAGCTGATTTGACGGTGTTCATTCCTCCATGCTGTATATTATCACTTGCAGTCTGTAATATCTTTGTTCGTGTTTGTGCTGTCCCTACCAACAACAGTAAAACAGGTCTTCTGTTTGAATTAAAGACACGATCCCAGACTTTGTCATCTTCTTCACTCCTCTTAAAGCTTTATGAACTGCGTTTAATATAGCTCACAAACAGCCACACTGAAGCGAGGCCAGTGAATGATGCCTTTTCTGTTTCCCTGCTCTCCACTTTGAATCATGAATAGTGGCTAAAACAATGAAGAACTGTAACTTGACAGAGCAAAGGAAGGTTTCTCACCCATCATCTGTACTTCTTAGCAAGTTTTCCCGACGTTTCGTCCTCAAACTAGCGGACTTCAGGGACTTCTTCAGGGACTTCTTCTTTCCCTGAAGAAGTCCGCTAGTTTGAGGACGAAATGTCGGGAAAACTTGCTAAGAAGTACAGATGATGGGTGAGAAACCTTCCTTTGCTTTGACTAATCCCTGTACGACTGAGGGCTTACACAAACTTGTAACTTGACAGGTTTTGCTTTATATACATGTCAACACTGAGTGCACAAAGCCTGTATATTATACTGTCACAATTTCATGATTGTAGAAACATGCAAAAAATATACCCATATTAAGAGATACAAATGTTACATTTTTTTATGACTCATTTGATTGTGATTCATTTATGTTTAATTATAAGTAACATGAATTAAGAGCATCAACCACCAGTATGATGACAAGCGCTGTAAGTTTCATGACAAATTCCAAGGTACAGGTAGAAACTAACTTTTAAACTATTATGAAAACAACTTTATTTCCACATTTGGGGGAGATGTGTAATTGCGAGACACATAATTATGCTCTGATCGGTCAGAACAGTGCCAAGCTTCCTCTGCAATTAATGCATTTGTGTGAACTGCTATGACAAACTTGGGCCTAGTGTAAATTTTTGCAGCTCAATTCTGTATAAACTTGAAAATGTGAAACAAGCTTCTCCTGATAATTATAGGTTTCGAAACTGTTGTTTCCTTGCATCCTATATTCAACCTTGAGTTGTAGCCTGTAGCAATCAATAATCATGTAACCAAATATGTTCTGTTCGATTCAACTAACATAACATTAATAACATGCATTACTTCTTTTTTTCCAGTTTGGAGCTATAACGAACATTCATTGCATTGTACTGTATGGTACAAAATTAGCTTACGTTTTCAGTCATGAAATGAGAGGGTCTCGTTTCATTTCCATGTGGCCACTTGATCATGTGTTTACTGGGTGTTGCAATGGCCCTATGCTGATATCATCTGCAGTTTTGAGGCTTTTTCACGACGCTTTATCTGTGTGCAGATATAAATAGTAAACAGGGAATATCATGGTATTTGTGCGTTGTGATCAATAATTGGAGTCTAGGATTGTGATGCATCGTGGTACAGTGAATTGTTACACACCCTATATTTACCAAAGGAGGTCTAAGAGGCCTAAACTTAAGGCCTCAGCTTCACAAAGACTCCAGCCAGTTTCTTGTACTCCAAAGGGTTCTTTTGAGTTGAGATGTTTTCAGTAATTATTGTTAAAAGATAACTATTAGACAGCAGCAGGTCTGTGACACAAGCTTGGGCCTTCTAGTAGTATAATTTAGGGAAAAGAAGGCACAACTGTACTGTATATAAACAGCCAGAGCCAAAGTATCAAAACTTGGATATCTACTTTCTTAGTTTCTTAGGAATTAAAAAGAGGAGCATAGCTCTAACCAGATCTTTTCCACTTCAGATCGGCGCCTATGACCAGCAGATATGGGAGAAGTCAGTGGAGCAGAGAGAAATAAAGGTATGGCTATTCAAAATTAAATGTTTGTGAATATTCTTGCCTTTGATTTCTCCTTTATGTTCATCACATCCTCCACGACCTCTCATCTGACATGTTTTTTCAGCCTTATGTTTTCCAGTGTTATTATTTTGTTTTTTCCTTCTTAACCGTTTCCTTTCTGCCTTCCTCCTGTCTTGGGTTGACATTTTCTGTCCGTCTCATCCCCCTCTTCCATCTTTGTCCTCTCAAAAGTTTATTTCTCTGGTGAGTATTCTGTGTTGTGTTTGAGGGCTTGAAATGATCTGTGTAAATCTTCTGAGCTCTGGAAGTAGAAGTGACCCGGTCACTGATTGGTTGTAGATGTTTATGAGGGATAATTGCAACGACATTCATTCCCCTTGAACTATTGGGCCATTTATCAAACGTTTGCAGTCTAATAAAAGGGAGACCAAATACTTTTTCAAGCCCAAATTATAAAACCATTCATGTTTCTTTCACATTTGTGAAAAAAATAGCATATTTTGGGTTGTGGCATGAAATGTGGAAAAGTTCAAGACGTATCAAACAAAACACATTTCTACTGCTCAGGCCTTTAAAAAGTAATAGTAAACGAGTGCATAAGCTGCGTAAACATGATGTAGCTGGAACAGTTTCAGGCCACAATGCATTGTGTGTCAAGCTCGTTACTTCCTGTAGGGAGTACTTTCTATGCGGGGTGAATGCAAAAATTATGCACACAGGAATTAAAAAGTTTTGCAAACAAATCACACATGAGTGTGAAGTTTTAATTGATGATTAACTTTTTATGTTCCTCAAGAATCATTTTCTATAATCTGAAACTGAATGTTGATAGATATATGCAGTGCAGACTGTTTGGACATTTTAAGTTTGACACTTTATCATCTACAGAATGGGTCATGTCAATGTTTCACTGCACATGAATTAACTTCATAGTAAACTCATGGGACTGCATATGGAGCTCATTTTAATCATGCTTAATACCTGTAACAGGTCTTCATAGACAGCCTCAAACATGAAAGAGCACAAAATACACAATAAAACTTACAGCTTTAAGAAAACTGTCCTTTTAATTGACATGTCAAAAGGGCCAAACTAAATGTATAATAATACACACATTATGTATAATAATGTATAATACACTATGCATAAGAATGTATAATCTTTGTGAGTGTAGTTTCATACTTAGACCCCCCAAATTGGTATACTGTACATGTTTTCAAATAGAAATTTCAAGAAATGTACCAACTAAAACGTACGTGTCTTGACTGATGATACACATTTATATAAATTGCTCTTAATCTGCCATTGTGGATTTTGCACTGTAACAGTAGTTTTAACAGCAGTGGGAAGCCTTAGTCAGGTTTAATTAACTAAACAGTGTCTAGTGAACTCACCCATCTGAAGCCTGTGCCCTCTGCTGGACAATTTGCCCCATGTTAAGGGCCATGATAAACACAGACTTTATAAAATGTGTGCTTTACTTGGGTTTATGGTTTAAACATTCCTAAATGTTTACCTTAGTCCAGACATGACCGCTGTCACTGTCCCTCTCTCACCAAGAGGCTTAAATAAAGTGTCCACTGTGAGATAAGAGATAAGAGCTGCTATAGCTCTACTATCAGAGAGCAGCAGATAAGTCATATTATAGACTGGGCAAACACAAGAGGGTGCAGTGTGGGAAAGTTTGAATAAAGCGGTATAATGCAAACAGTAGGCCAATAGTTTTATAGCCATTCGCACAAATACTGATGAGTAATTGTCTTGATGTTTTTCTCCTTGCATTTCCCCTGATTTATCATCTGTGTCACAAATTTTACTTTTTGAGTATCTTGTCCCTCATCACAAAACCTGGAGATGTATGTTCTGAGTTAGAAACTAAATTAAACTAAAGGTTTTAAGGCTGAAATACATCATACTTGTGGCTGTTTGTGTAAGCTCTTACAGGGATTAGTCAAAGCAAAGGAAGGTTTCTCACTCATCATCTGTACTGCAGGTTTTCCCGACGTTTTGTCCTTAAAGGACAACTCACCCTCAAATCCACTTTTTTTTGCTGATAAACTGTATAAATGAGTGTCCTATAGTGTTGTGTACATATCCTGGTCATAATATTGTCACTTTGGTGCAAATTACTAGAAAGATCCACTTTCTGCCTAAAACCGTCTGTGAGGCGCCATCTCATGGCGACCTGTGTTACTACATTTGAATTTTGAATCTGGCGCCAATATTGGCGCACAGGTTGGACCTGACGTCAGCAAGTTGGACCTGACGACAGCAGCCCCCCGCCCTGAACTATATAAACGGCCCAGTCTCGGTCACGCCCCCGTAGCGAGTTGGAGAAGGAATAGCAGAGTATTTTCATCGATTGTCAGGTTTGCGATTAGTTATAGCATTTAGATAGATTTTCATTAGCATAACTGTTTGTATTATAGATAATTGTGTCGTGTAAATTGCGTTGTTGTTTAATATTGTAGTTTTAGTCATTAGTTAGTTGCTTTTATTGTTGGATTAGTTAGCTGAATTTAGCTTAGGACTTTTTTTAGTATTAATTTTTATAGTTCTGTATCTTGTGAAATTCTATTGTATATTGTTTATTGTACTTGTGTGTTACGATGGGGAGGAAGTGTAGTGTAGTGGGGTGCTGTAGTTCTGTAGGTTTGCATGTGTTTCCTCCGGACTTAGAAATTAGGCGCCAGTGGCTGCGCGCAATTGGTTTGGAAGAAGACTGCAAACTCCCTCCTCACGCTGGAGTTTGCAAACTACATTTTGCGCGTGATTCCTTCGCCAACTCAATGGAGGTTGAAATGGGCTATGCCAGGTTGCTCCGTTTGAAGAGCGAGTCCGTCCCCACCCTTGCTCTTCCACGACTGCGCCTTAGGCCCTGTTTATACTGAGACGCTGCGCAGACGTTTCCAGGCTATTAACAGAAACGACCTGGCTCCTAATGCAAATTTCTCTGCGTTCACATGAGGTTAAAAAACGATGTAGTTCTAGCGCCCGGCCAGTAGTGGGCAGATAAACTTTACAACACGACACACGACCCCCAGCCCCGTGCCCAGCCCCCCTCTCGGCAGTGTACTCACTTCCTGTGCCAGACCCTCAGAACGTACCAACATCATTCTGCCTTTTAACAGCAGCTGTGAACATGGGAACTGAACCTAGAGCTTCGCGTGGTCTCGTTTGGACGAACGAAGGAGTAGAGTTATCCTCTGTGCCGCGCTGGAAGTCCACGTAGCTAGTTTGTGTGGGCGGCGCCATTATTGTTGATGTTTGTTCTCCGCTACTGCGCATGTCCAAATTTACGTGCGGGGAGCAGCGCGGAGGCGGGGGTCAGAGCAGAGGGGGATTTCACACCTTTCCCCTCTCGCGAGTGTGAAAAAGCTCCCTGCTGTGCAGCGTATCTGAGTTGTCCCACTCTGCAGGCTGGATCTGAACACTTACGTTTTCACCCCCCTGGAACACTGTCTTCGTATGAACGGTTGGTAGCAACCGACATCCAACTATACCGTTTTACTGCCACATTGTCTCCGTGTAAACTCAGCCTTAGCCCACCGACACTGTTGCCCCGCCAACAGGACGATTTCGGGCGCCAATCTAAGGTGAGTGGGAAATTCTTATTCACCCATCTTGGATTTGATCACTTTTGCAATGATTGTGACTGCTGTAAAAAGTTGGTTCAGCCTATCCCGCTCATTTCTGTCAATAATTTCTGCTAAAGCAGACACACTGCTGAGAGCAATGAACCCGTTAATACAATGTTATTATTATTTGGTTCTTTACTGAATTTACTTGCTAGTTGCAGTGGCTAATGCATCAGTCAGCACATATTGGTCAGCTTTTATATTGGACAACAGCTGCGTGAAACGTGACTGCATCTACAAACTAACCTATAAAGCTAACCCAAAGCTATCACTACTGTGAGGCTAAACTGACCGTTGCCTATGGCTCCGTGTGCGCTCTGCACTAGTGTGAGCGTGCTGACCACTGCAGGTGGACTGTGGTTCTTTTGTGCTGCTATTAAATGCACTAAGGAAATGTAAAACATTGTTACTTATTTCTTTGTGTTCAGCCAATGACCAGAGAAATTGGTTGCCAGACTGATCCAGTCATTGCACGGCACGCAAGTGTCCAGGCCAATGTGAAGCCGAGCAGACGAAGCAAAGGTGATATCTCTATACATTTTTGTTCGAACAGTACAGTCACTTTATGTCTATTTTTTGTTGTTGCTAGACTCAAGATATGTAAATGATTGTTTATTGTGTCTTTTTTCTTTTATAAAGCTATTCAAGCCCGAAGCGCTTACACAAGTGTCAGTAGTGGCACTGAGGACCTGATGGATATCACTCTTCCTGACTGTCCCAGAGCAGCCTCTACACCTTTAAAAAGGAAAAGGTGTGAGGTGCCAGCGTCTGATCCCAGCTTCCATATAGATGACAGTGCCAGCACTGTGAACTGCTCCAGGTATAAAAGAAATCTAGCTTTGTAATAAATATATATGTGTATGTGTGTTCATATATATATATATATATATATATATATATAATGAACACACATATACATACATACTGCGTCAATAGTTGAGGGATTAAATATGCCTCTTTCTTGTATATAGCCTTCCCGGTGAAGTCCCTCCACACAAGGACAAAAAATATATTGTCCATGAGGACCACCTGCTGGAGCTGTTTAGGCGATGCCCTGTCTGCACTGGTCGTTGTACTGTGGACACGATGACAATCGGTACAATGCTTCGGGTCACTCATAAATGTCCACGCTGTGAGTACTCCTATCACTGGTCCAGTCAACCGATGGTGAACAACATCCCGGCTGGGAACCTACAGCTCTGTGCTGCTGTGCTGTTCACCGGCTCATCATTTAGCCAGATTTCAAAGGTACTACTAAAACAAAGGAATGGTGTTATTTTTATACATATAATATCAGGTGATAACAGATCTTTTTATTACACAGTTCTTTGGGGCCTTCAATATTCAGGGACTGTCAGAGCAATGCTTCTACAGGCATCAGGCAAAGCTCCTCATCCCCACGGTTAACTGGCAGTGGAAGCTGGGAGCAAGATGACCTCATCAGGGAGGCTCTTGAAAATGGCACTGTTACACTAGGTGGGGACATGCGGGCTGATTCACCTGGTAAATACATTACTTCAACTTTTTTTTTAAGTATTAATACATGTCAGCTAATGTACAACTTTCATTTGTGTAGGACATTCAGCCAAATATGGGAGTTACACA